CTGCCCGGGAGCCGCGGGGTGAGCCGCGGCGTCTGCTCCCGTGCCGCAGCACGGCAGGGCCCTCAGCCCTCAGATCAGGCTGCGGGGGAGGGAGAAACCGGGACACACCTCACAGGGGTGAGGCAGGCTTCTCCAGACCCCAAGCAGCTGAGGACTGCAGTGTGCTTCCTACCCTGGGTGGAGGATGCCATCTGAATGTTGGACTAAGCCATCTAGCTAGTCTTCAGACAGCTTATGTGGCCCTCTTAACCCAGAGAGGGTCGAGATCTGTTACTGTAGCAGGATGTGCCTGTCCAAGTGATAATAAGCATGTTGAGATTCTTCTAAACTGCAGCTCTTTCCATCAAATACCAGACCTGGGCACACAGCTGCGGTGCACAGCGGCTGGAGCTGACCCTGCCCTGGCACTTGTGTCCCTGGGATGTCCTGGGTACTGTCCAAGACAGTCTCTCCAGGCTGTGAGCAGCAGGGCACCTGCAGGGAGAGGAGGGAGAAAGTACCCTGGGGTTGTTGCCCACGGGGTGGGGATGAGGTTAGGTGACACTGGGCATGCTGACCCGAGCAGAGGGATTTCATCCATGGAGCACCATTCCATGCCAAGCTCTGCTACTGGTAAGCAGCTGGTTCCCTTAACTAGCTTCATGTTCCCTCAGCAGTTATTTGCGAGTAACCAGTAACATCCCCCCATGAGCTGAAGTTTTCAGTGAAGCTTGTCTGACACTCAGGAAAACACAAAAGGCAGAACATGCCCTAATTCCGTTGAGGCTATTTAATTTAAATAGTAGAAATGCAACTTTTCCAAAAGGGAAGTTTTCACTGTTGGCTCATGGGAAAAAAAATAAGGCCTTGGGCTTCTGAGCTCTGTGCTGAGCCTGAGCAGACAGTGATTGCAGTGGGAAATGTAGCTTGATACTGCTCTAATTTGAAATGAAGTTATTTTGATTAGTTTAATAAACTCAAATGAAATATTTCTGTTCCAACGACAACAAGTATTACTTTTTAATTAACACTTCAAAAAGTTTGGTGTTGCTGAATACATTTTCTCAGAAGTAAGTCTTCAAAAGAACGTAAATTGTAACAAGCCATAATATCTCCTGCCTGATACTGAAGGCAGGGTAAGGAGGGTGGACTTTGCCCCATCCTTTTGCAAGCTTCGAGTTGCCATTTATGGAAGGTTTGCAGGGCGCGCAGAAGTCCAGGGCCCATTCAGGCTGGAAACGTCTAGCTGCTACTGGAATAGGAATACTAAGTAATAAGTTATATGGCCTAATGCTGCCCTTACAATAAAATCCCAGGTAACATTCCCTCTTTGGGGTGCTAACATTACTTAAGGCTTACAAGTCCTCCAGATGGGTCTCTCTCACTGCTGGTATTCTTAGACACTGCACAAAAATCTACTTCTCACTCTCTTCATGCTAAAAACTTTTGGAGTATGAAAATGTCCCATTGTCCTACATAGAGTTGTGCCAATAAAACATAGCTCTGTGTTGTAAATTATGACATCTTAAAATATACTTAAGCGATTACTACATTGAAGCACGTACCCGATAGCCTAAGAGTAGGCACAGTCTGGAAGTGCAGATAATATTTGGTATAATGAGGTATCTTAGTTAAGAGAAGGGAAAGCTGCCCGAGCAGCGGGCGTGTGGAAGTCACAGCTGCCAGGCCAAATCCTGCCTCAAGCATGACACAAGCAGTGCCACTGATTCCGTGGAACTTGTTTGTCTGACTTAGGCCAGCGGGCTTGGTTCTAGGCAGAAAACCTGAATTTATTTTCAGAAAATAACACCCAAGATTTCTCCCGACTGCCTTTTAAGTAGGAACGTTTATTCCAAGTGCTTCGAAAAGCAAAAGCTAAAGTTATATGCGGTAGTTTGCAACGTACACATTGTTCCAGTGTCCCTATTTAATAATTTCTTAAACCCATCTCTGAGATAACACTTCATATATTTTTCTAAATCGATGAAACGTGATAGAAATACCGGCTGTCCTATTCACGTAGCCACACAAAACAACTGATCTGTGAAAGTATATTAATCAATATCAGAAGCAAACGTTTATTGTTTTCCAACTCTAACACTATATTGATGAGCTTTTACCAGGGAGGGGTCCAAGTTTAAGCCATGACTAATTCTGGCTCCAGGGAGCGTGTATTTATGTGGTTTCAGCCCAGTTTTATCTTTTGCTCAGCAAAAAAGTCCAGGCTAGCTGGCTGGAGTTAGGATAGCCACTCAACCTGACTACCCCAACCGTTTTTAAGGCGACTGTCTTTGTTTCAGGTAGTCGGGAATCTGCTTTTGTACATGCCATCTCCTCTGCTGGAGTTGTCTTTGCCATCACCAGGGCATGTAGCCAAGGGGAGCTAAAGTCCTGCTCCTGTGATCCCAAGAAGAAAGGCTCTGCCAAGGACAGCAAGGGCCATTTTGACTGGGGTGGCTGCAGCGATAACATTGACTATGGTGTTAAATTTGCCAGAGCCTTCGTGGACGCCAAAGAGCGAAAAGGAAAAGATGCGAGAGCGCTAATGAACCTTCACAACAACAGAGCTGGAAGGAAGGTGGGTGTCGGTCCGAGAGGTGCCTGCAGACACTCTCAGAGAGCTCTCACGGCTCTGGGGCAGGTAATGATTTGCCCTTGCTGACTGGTCTCAGCAGTAAGGAAGAAGTATGGGACGAGCAGGAGCCTGAGGTGTTATTTCTGTCTCCCTTGGAGGTTCAGCATAGCAGAAATCTCCAGACAGACTGGGCGCAACTGCTCAACGGTGACTCCCATTGGAGTCATTTCAGTGGCTTCTTGTGTGGAAAGTTAATCACAAGCCCAAGTTGTTGCAAGATCAGTTTGGATGGAGGTTTTGAGCATAATCCTTATATATGGAGAAATTTTACTTTGGCTTAATATAAAATAGAAATTCCCAAGGGAGTCTGAAGACCACGCTGAAGAGCAGGGTTGGCTATTACAGAGCAAATTCAAAATAACATTGGAGAAAAAAAACCTATCCTGTCCATGTTAAACATAAACACAGAATGAGCAGAGAGAAAATAGAATGACTTCACTTCTTAAGAAAGAAAATCTAAAATACATGTCCCTCCAAAAGGTATAGGGCTTGGGGCATGACATGCTCCAAACAAACCCCTTTTCTAAATGTTGTATGAAAATACCATTCCTGAATTTCAACCAAAAGAGCCTTTTCTTTTTTACTGTGAGTAGTTGACGGGCATATTGCCCACTGCAGTGCAAGGGCTGAGCAATAAATGAACTAATACTTTGTGGAGATAGCTATAAATAGTGAGAATAGTGCATGGAACTGGAAATTGCTGTTTTGTTATTCAAAATTTATTCAGAATTTGCTGGATCCGTGACATTTGAAATAATACAGAGAAATATTTTATACTGCTAGACTGAGCACTTCTAAAATGATTCATAGTGACTTCTCATTTCTGGTCTTTGGTTTTCCTTAAAGTATATTCAGTGGGAAGTAAATTGACACCCTATGCTGATCTTTTTGTATTAAAATGTTCACTTTGTAAATTAAAATTGTTCTATATTCACTAGCTCTTATTAGGAGAAAAGGTCCCATTTTAATGAATGCAAGCAGGTGATTTTTCTCATGAATATTTCTCCTTCAACATCTTTCCTCCACCTGTTTATTTCCAGCAGGTGTAATTAATATGTAATACAGACAGATGAGGCTACTCAGGTCACTGATGTGCATATGCAACAATATGGCTGTAGTTACGTTACTGTCCAAAAGAGACTGCAGTCTGCACCACAAACAAAGACTTCATAGAGTGTGAAGTAGCTCCATGCTAGGAAGTACTTTCTGTAATAGCTGAACACCTTAGTAAGTTAAAAAAAATACATATGCCAAATAATAAGACAGTATTGATAAGCAGATAGGTTTTTTAGAAAAAGATCGAGAGACTTTAATAAATGTATTTGACTAAAAATAAACAACATACTCTCATATGCTCTAGGACCTGCTTTACAGAAGGGGATGCTGGTTTGTATCCACAGTGCAGTAGTGTAGCTTTAGCTTTGCAGGGTTCTCCCTGCCTCAGCCCACTCACAAGCCTGGCATTTGGATCTGGGTAAGACCAGCTGTGTCCCCGGCTTGTTCTCACCCCCAAAACGGGTGTCAATAGGTTTCTTTTAAAAAGACTACTAGACTACTCAGATTTTACTAATTCAAAAATACATAGAATAAACATTTAGAATATTCCTATATAAATCATACAAAATAATATGTTTTATACATCTGTAGAGGAACATCACTGAAAAAAAACCCCAACAATTGCATTCCTTTGTGCTTATTCCTCTATTTTCTTCTGTTCCAGCAAGTTTTAAATGTACAAGTAGTTAAACTGATTTCTACTCAGAAAATTAAAACCAAGCATGTGCTTAAATCCCAGTTTTGTGATAGTACCATTGGCAATGAAGTGGAGCTGTGGGAATGTCAGTGACTTCTTTGAAGTCGTTGTATTGTTTACAAGTTGGAAAGACAATTAAAACGACTTTGGTTTTATAAAATACATGCTCACTTTATTGCTAAATGCTTGGCTGAAGCGTGCTGCCCTGCTGTGGATCAGTCTTACTTCTAATCATGGGCCTTCCTTCTCTCTTACCTCCCTCCCATGCTGCTGTTCCTTTTGTACAAGCCCTAAAGTGTTCATATTTCACAAACCCTTAAGGCATAATATTTTTAGATCAAATATCCATATCTTTAGAATTAGGAATTAATTATTTATTGTATATGAACCCTTCTGTTGTTCTCCAGCATCACGGAGGTAGCTTAAATGTCTGAGATGAAGCTGAAATGGCTAATGCTAACCAGACATTGAATTAATAATGAAAGTGATGTCTCCAGTGCAAGCTAATGAAGGGTCTTATTCCTAAATGTTTGTTAAGAGGTTTATAAGCATTTTTGAATTACCGCATTTTAAAATTTTGCATAGATCTGTTGCCTAGCCCATGCACAATACTTTGCACAGAGTCTGTAAAATGATTTAAATATGAAGTGCCTGTGAATTTCTGGCCAGTATTTGAAGCACTGTTGAGGGCAAAGGGCAACTTCATGCCAGCGAGCTGGAGAGGGTCAGCAGGACAGAGCTTCACGTGGCACGATGAGGCAAGGCGTGCCTTCGCCTGCCGGCGGGCTGCATAACTCTGCCCATGTCCCAGCCCCTGTCCTCCTGTCCAGTCTGTGTCCCCGCGTCATGGACCATCTCCATCCTCGGGATGGCTGGCAGGAGCCGGGAAGATAAGCCCACCAGCCGGAGAATTGTGCCTAGGGTCGAGTCAAACCACCCGAGCAGACCGACCATGTGGGGATGACCTGATGCTACCAGTGGGTGTCACTACAGACCGTGATTTGGAGCCCCACTGCAAACCTGGCATTACAGGGTGGAGGAATGGAAAAGGGCTGAGAAGCACAAATGACAATTTGTTTTACCTGTACGTATCTTACTGCGTTTCTAAACAGGCTGTGAAGCGGTTTTTGAAACAGGAGTGCAAATGTCACGGTGTGAGTGGATCGTGCACTCTAAGGACCTGTTGGCTGGCCATGGCAGACTTTAGGAAAACAGGAGATTATCTGTGGAAGAAATACAATGGAGCGATTCAAGTGGTCATGAACCAAGATGGCACGGGTTTCACTGTGGCTAATAAGAGATTTAAGAAGCCAACTAAGAATGATCTGGTATACTTTGAAAGCTCTCCAGACTACTGTATCAGGGACAGGGATGTAGGTAAGCCTCTATTGTTATACATGAATGGTTTTATTTCAGACATTTGTACTTTGAAGGTCGAAAACTATCATTATTATTGAGTGTGTGTGTATATATGTATATTAAAATCTATGCACAAACTAGCAGAAAACAGGCAGGAAAGTGTTTTGGAAGGACAGCTCTGTACAGGAACAATAGGTCCTCAATGTCCATACGTGTACAACAGCCAGTTGGTCTAATAATATAATTCAGCAGTTTCTTCCAGATGCTGTGGAGCCCTGGAGAGGCTCCAGAACAAAAGCTGATTTTCGGACAAGTCTGAGTTATGCTCTGGAGGCAGATCCATACCATACACAGCCACATACACACTTCTATCACCCAGCTCACTCCAGAGCTGCCAGATACAACTACAGCAGCTCCAGGTCCCGTGATGTCCCTCTGCTATCACCTCCTGTCACATTACTTCTCTTCCATGTTGTTATGCTGTTGCTGCAGGCTCCCAGTAAACCAGTGTCCTCCTTCACCTGCACGTCGCCCGCAGCTCGCTGGGCACCATGGACTCTCTAGTTGCAGGCACGCCTCTGCCCATCAGTAATGCAGGAGGTATGGCAGCTTGGTGCAAACCATGCTTGTGCCAATTGATGCTGCTGTTAGTAATGTGGTGCAAGGCATCTGGAGGACGTGCAGGTGGGTGAAAGAAAAGAGGCTGGTGGGGCACAGTGCTCTGCGTCCAGTGACACAGCCGTTTATTCCTCTTTACAAGGCAGTGTTGGCTCTGTCCATGATAACCACCACCCTTTCTGAAGAGCTGTGCCAGCCCCGGTGGGAAGAGGGAAACTTTCAGTGCTGCTATTAACACTGAATTTTTCTGCTTTCAGAGATTTCAGTGGAGACACACTTAACAGTATTACAGAACGCAAGGCACTGCTAAGCGCCAGGAGTCCTGCTAACGGTGCTTGACCCATGTATAGTATTTCCTGATGTGGCAATTAAAAACTAGCAACTAGAAAACCAGAAATTTGGAAAAGAGAGCCAGACTGAGTAATGTATGAAAGATGTTGTGGAACTAATTAATAGGTTGTATAACATACCAGATTGCACCCGGTATGTCATATCCGTAAGTATCTGGATAGCAATGCAGCTCAACACTTTTTGGCACTGCTGCCTATTTACAATCCAAGTTTACTTGGAATAAGCATTGCAAAACAACTCTACTTAAATAAGAACAATATGTGAAATCGTGGTCATGTACTATTGACTTCAGCAGACCCAGATTTTCAGCCAGTATGCTTATATTGTACAGTGTTTCTGGTTCATTGAGTAGTCAGGGTAATTTAAAATGTTATTTATGGCTTTTGCAGGTGATGCTTATTACCTTCATGAGCACGTATTGTTCCTTGAATAGTCACCAATATTGTGAAGTCTAATAACCTACTCCAAGTGAATAAATGGTCATATGGTGGTATCATGCAGAGACTAACTTTGCAGACTAGGATCTGTTCAAAACTTTATTTCTCGCATTTGCCTTGTTCATTGTAGTTCTTGTGATCTCTTTCCTTTATAAAGGAGAGCCCATACACAACCCACTTTTATCTTAAAAACCTGATTAATAATCTCCTTATACTAAGCCTGTTCTCTTCTGTCAGTCTTGTTATCGTGGAGGACGCAGGGCATTTTTCACTGCAGTGTGTTACCTGCGCTTGCCTGACACTGTCAAGCCTGCCCAGAGATGGCAGAGTCTGACATGTACTTTGGCTCAGCTCAAGATAAGGCTGTGGATGAGGCAGTGTTTCTTTGCTGCCCAGAATTCAGAGAATGTGGCTGTTTGGAAGAGCACATTTTTGGCAAGCTGCAGTAATTCTCTAACAGGATGCGGGATGTTCTGCTGCTTGCATGGAGCAAAGGAGGAATGAAGGATGAGCAAAAACTGATCTGGCTTTGAGAGAGGTAATTTCAGCATCTGAGCAGCACTTTTTCTTTATCACCTTCGTTTTGCCCTGTTGAGAGCTCCAGAGTGTCAGCCCTGTTAAATGACTGGAAATGAAATGAGATTATGGAAGACTGAGTGTGGATATAGGTGGGGAGCATCTCAGTGTCAGCTAAAGCTAATAGCACAGCACTTTAGTATGCCCTCGAATACAGTCCTGCCTTCCTTTCTCCAGGGAATTCAAGCAATTTAGTGCTTCAGGGGAAAAAAAATAAATCTGGAGATTGGTTAGTATTGAGACTGAACGAAGGATTCCCAAAGTAAATTGTATGAAGCATCACCAGGAGACGGCTTCACAAACAGTAAAATTGCCAAGTCAGTGTTCTCTGTTCCTTGGGTGTGCTAACATATATGAAGCAGTAAATTAAAGGCACTCAGAGGTTGTATCATCAGTGGCCTATCCAAAAACCCACATACCTCATCTTCTGCCATGGGAGATTTTAGCTGTGGCTCTCTGGTGGTGGGCAGCTACCAGCAGGTGCTGGGACTGAACACATCCCACTGGGTCTGGCAGCGTGTCTGGGGGATGCAGCTGGACATGCATACATGGGTCACCCCTACAACGTGAAAAATGTGGCATGTTTTTTTCCCCCAGAAGGAAAAGACAAGTCATGGCTTTTGGGAGAGATGTAATATGTGAAAATCACTACAAGCAACTAAACAGCATGAGATCATAATAACCCAACCACCTCTTGTCTAGCATTAAGATTTCATGACTTTTAGGAAAGGACCAAAGGAAGACTTTCAGAAGTGTTCAGAATTCACCTAACTCTGCTCACATGGACACTGAAATGATTTTTGCTCACAATTTTGTACTCATAATCTGATAGAAACAGAGGTAGGACATTCCAGAGGGTTTCTGAAAATCTTATAATGAATTTAACAATTTTGCCACACTTTGTATGGTCTTCCCTTCTGTTATAATGGATTTCCAGCTCCCGGAACCAACACAAGCACACCCAGGACTACACAGGGAGAGACCTGTTGGGAAGGAAAAAGCTGGGGGGGCGGGACACTAAAATGATGCCTACACGAATGGCAGTCCTGCTGTTTCTGTCTTACCCCAAATGCACAACTTCACCTCCACAATGCTCAGAAAAATCTTCTTTCTTGTCCTCTTATAAGCTTGTGTTAGAAGCAGTTTAAGTTTTTAAAGATTTCTGTTTTACCATCCATGCAGGTTAGGTTGATTGAAAGCTGTTGCAGGTTTATCATGTTTTGAACATACTGATGGAGAAAGGAGAGGTTGCTTCAGGATTGAATGTTTGGGCAGCCATAGCATGGGCATCACCAGCTTGCTGGCTGAGCCTTCATTACAGGCTGCTGTTCATAGAGGCTGTTGAAGCCATGTCATGTCTTGCTGAAAAAATAAGAGCAACCAAAATCTTAGGTGGTGTTTGAGGGAGCCTCTTCCTGCAGGGGGACCCCCACCAAAGTGTGCAGAGCAAGCTGAGCTCAGCTACACATGTCGAGGTGGTGCATGTGGAGCGAAGAGGTTGTGTCACCCAGGGTGGACACCAAGGTGGGTGGTATGGTGCTAGGATGGTGTTGGTGAGCACATGCTGACTGTCTGCAGCTGTTCTGGTAGCAACAAGGTTTCAGCCGCATGAAGGTGGTGGAGCAAAGCGGCAGGTCGTGTCTACATGCAGATGGTCTCAGGCTGCTGCAGGAGGCCCTCAGGACCCTGTGTCATGTGCTTTATGTCATCTGTAGGTTTCTCCTGACACTCACGTGGCTCCAGTTTGGATGCTCTCAAAGGCAGTGTCACTGCCTCTGCCTGTGTGTAGGGTGTGGATTGTGTACCTGGAATGTGGTGGCCATCTCCTGTGTCCCTAGCAGGCAGACAGGGTGCTGCTGCTGTGTCTGAGGACACCTGCTAGTCCAGGGGAAAGCACCGTGGAGCTGCATGTGCAGTGCTACAGGCAGCCCCACAGAGCTGCATGCTGGGTGACAAACCACATGCCCAGAGTGATCTGCTTTGGATCCTTCGCAGGATTATTTCTGTGTTATTTCCCTTGTGGCTCCACACAAGCCATTTGCTGCATTTTTGAGGTGAATGAGGCCAAGTCTGGAGTGACAGAAAAATATGAAACTGAAGTATAGGCTGTAAAGTATCGGTGTTGTGCGAGGTGTGTTACTGCTTGAGGTACGTAACCTATGGAGAGAAACCAATCTTGATCTATGTCAGAAACTTCTCACTGAGGTTAGCCACATACAGGCAGTCCCTGTGTGACTTCTTGGCCCATATCTCCCAATTTACACGTTGCAAAGATGCTGGGTGCGGTCCCAGTCTGGTGCGAGCTGCCGGCGGAGCTTGCGTGACTTCCATCAGGGCAGCTCTCCTCCAGGCTCCCTCTGCCGGGGGAGCAGCACCATTGCCCCGGCAGCCCCGAGGTTCTGACAGCCGTCGGTGGCCACGCAGCTTACAGCAAGACACGTGCTTACTCTACACTGAATCTGGCTAAGATGTTTTTATCAGCACATTGCTGGCCTGAGGGATCCCAGCCCCTCCAGACAAGGCTGTCTCCAGTGTGTGCTGTCTGCTCTCTCCTGCCCTGCTGTGCTGGGGTGTTGTTCCACATTAATCTTTCTTGATTTAAAAAGGACCTTCAGAGCCACTTTTTTTTGGTGAGTATTTCCTTGTTGGTTTGGTTTGGTTTGGTTTGGTTTGGTTTGGTTTGGTTTTTCCCCACCAAATGCTCATGTGGAAACTAGTTTATTGTTGTCAGGGAACTTTATTACTTGAAGTCAGATTTTTAATCAATAGAAATAGAAGGGGAAAATCTCATGTTATAAAGGAATAAATACGTTTTAGTGCTTTGGGAATGGGAAAAAATATTTTTCAACTTACTCACCAGATGTTTGCTTAAGAAATCAACGGTGCTAACCCAGAAGAAGGGGTTTGATGTATGGGCTGTAAAGTTGGCAGTATTAAAAGCTGTGGATGTTTTGGCAGGTATGATGTTGTGTGTCGGCATGACAATTCCAACACTTCAAATAAAAACAAAGAGGTTATTTGAAAACCTTCCACAAGTTAGAACATATTCCTGTCTCTTAAATGATGAGGAGGGGCATTACAGGTAGCAAGCAAAGATCAGAAAACTGCTTAATTTTGTGTAGTGTCTTCTGCTGTCTCCACCACCTGGGTATCTGACTGCCAAGGAGCGCAGTCACTCGCCTGGCTGCTCGCTGTCAGCTGTCGTTCATTTTCTTTCTCACAAGGGAAGCTGCAGAGATGCTGAAGATGGTCTTCAAACTTTCCAAAAAATGTTGTTTTGCTCAGAAACAAAACCTTTCTATGAGCCTGGTTTCTCTTTTGTGGCTCATTTAGTCCCCTCTCCTAGTGGTTTTGTAATGGTTGATGTTGTGTTGCAGGCAGTAGCAGGTGAGACTGGCTTCTGACCACCTGTCAGCAGCTGAAATAACTTTGGTTTTGTGGTCAGTGGCAAAACTCCTGTTGAAACCGGGGGGTGTATCCTACTCAGATTCTCCTTCGCTGCTGTGCAATTCCTCAAACATCTGGAAATTGGAACCTTGGAGTTGGAAACTAATCTGTGCCTCATCTGAGGACTGTGGTCAGACCTTCCCTGGGCAGCTCCTGCCAGTTGTGGTGGGGTGAGACGTGTTGCCTCACCCCAGCAGCTGGGCAGCACAGCCCCAGTCTGCTCCTGGTCAGGAGGTGGCTGAGGTGGAGATGGGCTTTGGTGTCCCTCTGCTGCGGGAGCGACTCCTGCACGTGACGGTGGCACAGCAAAGGCGATCGAGCATCCAGCTCCTTCTATGCAAACCATGTGCAAAGAGCAAACCACACCTCAGTGTGGAGTGACTCCTGAAACAAGGATCTGGGAAAAGCCTTTTGGCATCACAGCTTTGCCTGTTGAGCAGGTTGCCCTGCTGCAGCTGGCCTTACAGCAAGAGCTGTGTGGCAGAGGGCTTGCTAGGCATGATGTGTGCCTGTGTGGGGCATTGCTGGTGGTACCTCTCTTCCTCTTCCCCAAGATGCCCTGCCCGGGATTCAGGTGCCAGCACTGGCTGTGGGGACAGGAGACTGGGAGTTCCTGCTGGTTCCCTTGGTGCATGCAACACATCACTGTTTTTTACATAACTCGAGGTGCTCCCCCAAACAGCAGAGACTTGCTTTAAAGTGCTGTTCAGCTGCCTTCCCAATGATGCCTTGCAGAGCCCTGGTCCACGGGCAGACCCCAAGGAGATCTGGGGTTTATCAGGCTGCAGGTGCAGGATCTCATCTCTGGCTCTGTTCACCATGTTTTCTCCCTATGCCTTTTCCCTCTTGGGTGGCTCAGCAGGTCTCCATTTGGCCAGCACAGCAGCACCTTTGCATCTCAGGACCCCTGAGCTGGGGCTGGTGTCTTCACCATCGGCAGCAGTTGCTGAGTGGCTCCTCTGGTGGGTGGTCAGGGCAGCTCTGGGCACCTGCTGAGGCTGGGGGGCAGGTGGCTGTGCAACACCCTTCTTCTGCTCTGCCCACAGCAGACCTCGACCAGCACTTTGATATTGAAGCTTTCCAGGTGTATCATCCTAGCCAATGACTGTTTAAATAAGTAGAGGAATACAGGCTGTGGGAGAGAGGGCTGAGATGCCTTCTGGGGACTGGAACACTCCTCTGGGGCATCTGCTGAAGCCTTTTTTAATGGATACAAAACGAGAAAATTTCCCCCACTGTGGCTAAGAGACTAAATCATGTGTTGGCCATATGACAAACCATAGTCTGAGAAGGTGATTTTACTCGAGTTCCTGAGACCACTCCCTGCCTCAGTGGCTGGGCACACGCCCCAAAAGACGTGAACTCTCCTTAGTGCTGGGGACAGTAAGGGGTCGGGGGGACAGCGAATACTTTTGTGGTGTGAGCTGCTTTGACTCAGCAGCAGTGGTACATACAACCACAAGTGCACCACAGGTGAAAAAAAAGCAAGTTAGAATTTATGCAGCATAGCTTTTTAATGATTACAGATTGATGGAAGATTAAGTTTTATTAATTAAGTGTGGTTTGCTATCCTAGCTCATGCAACTATGAATTAATGTTTGCATGTGTTCTTTTTTTCTTTAAGAAGATAAATTATTCATGTTTGATGTACACCTGTAAATATACTTTGTGCAACGTTTCCAGTTAATGACCACGGTCAATAATTAGGGAATCCCATTCTGGCCAAGAACAGCAGAATGGAACTATAATCTGGTCTAGGGAAAACGTCACACAGATGTTCATCTCATGGATATACCTGAAAAAGATTTGTAATAGCAGGACATCAGAAATTAGGTGAAGTAATAAGTACTCATGAGGTTTCCAGATTAGTGGTAATCACCTGTCAGGAAGAGATCCTGAAGTATACCCTAAGATGTTTGTGTTAGATGAGCAGCAGCTCCTATGTGCTGCAGTAGCTGTGGGGGGTAAGGCACGCTTTAAAAAGCCATTTTGTGCCACGTGGAGATGGGTAGGGGCATTTCAGCCACTCTATAGAGGTTTTAAGAACGTGAGGAGGGGTGATACACTTTGCTGCCCCTCCTTCTTTCCACAGTAGGCTATAACTGAGTTTCTTCTAATCTCTGTCAAGAACAAGGAGAAGAACCCTTGGTGTTTATCCCCCAGAGAGGAGAGGTGAGCAGAGCAGTCACTGTTCCACTGCCACCTGAACTGGTGGACATGAGGACCATGGCTGGAGGTGGTAGCGATGCCAAGCAGTTGGGGTGCTTCTGTGCTTGCTTCTGCAGCACCTTTACCCACTGGCAGCATGGTTACTCTGCCCATCGTGTCCCTGCAGCCACCAGATTTAGTGGTTTCCTCTTTCCCAGCTCTACCCTGCCCACCCAGAGCTCCCTTACAAAGCCCATGAGCTCCCAAGCACCACAGGGGTGCACCTCCCAGGCACCCCATTTTACACAGCCCTGGGGGACAGGGCACAGGGGCAGGAGGGAGCTGCACAGTTGCCTTGGGGAGTGTGTCTGCTCACTGGAGAGGAAAGAGGTGCCATGGAAAGATGAAGCAAAGCACGATGATACTAACAGAAACAGGCAGAGCCTTGAAGTATTTGGTCCATTTTACTCTTCATCTTCAGACCTGATTTCTAGGAAAAACTGGGGAATTTGAGAGCAATTTTACCTTATTGTAGGCATTTCTCTGGCTTGATATTGAATCCCGGGTGACGTGAAGGATCAGACACATTGCAAATGGTGCCTCCTGCACCTGTTTTCATATGGTTTCTGCCCTTCCTTAAGCTCCATGTCCTGAGGTGTGCTGCGTTTCCTTGGCAGGGTCGCTGGGGACGGCGGGGCGGGTCTGTAACCAGACGTCGCGCGGCATGGACAGCTGCGAGGTGATGTGCTGCGGGAGAGGCTACGACACCGCCCGCGTCAGCAGGGTCACCAAGTGCGAGTGCAAGTTCCACTGGTGCTGTGCCGTGCGCTGCCAGGACTGCCTAGAGGTGGTCGATGTTCACACCTGCAAAGCACCGAAGAGCCCTGGCTGGGCCTCCCGGACATGAGGCACAGGCTGCTGATGCTCGAGGACCGCGGTCTTTGCCCTTCTTGGTCCGTGCAGGGAATGCACCTGAGGTCTTCTCTGCTTTTACGCCGGTTTTGCCTTTGTCTTTCGTTGCGCAGAGGCTGCTGAATAATTAATACCGACTCTGCAGCATTTACTTCCCATTTCTTTGTGACAGTGCTGCTGCAGAGCTCTCTGTGCATAAACTGATGCAGCTCTGGAAGGACGTGTTTCTGCTGGGACTCTTCCAACCAAGGCGCAACTCTGGACCCTTGTGGTAATTCATTCCTGCCATCAGGAGCACAGCAAGCTGCAAAGATGGAGTATTTCGTACAAGAGCACCACCACCAACTGCACAGGCTGTGCTTGCTCAAGCATCTTCCAGAAGATCTGGTGCTGGTCACAGCGGTGCCCTGGCTACTGAAGCACTCAGCAGTTTGAGTGCTGGTTGGCGATTCCTCCATGAGAGAAAATTTGGGGTGAGGCTGAGTGAAAGGCTTTACTGGAGGAGTGTTTGTCCATCCCTGGTGGACTGGAGTTTGCAGTGAGGTGGCCACCTGAGGCCACCCTGGGCACTGGTAGCACACTGTGTCCTCCCATGGGGCAGAAGTTGGCCCACAGTGAAAAGGAAACTGCAGGAGATGCATTCAACCACATTTTCATAAACTATTAAAGAACCAAAGCAAATGTCTTAGTTATATATTTGTAAAAAGTTGCCTTAAAAGCTTTTAAAAGGTCATTAAAAGGATATTAACTGCTGAGGTTTTTTTGTGACCTGAAGGATTGAAGTGGTTTGTTTCGCAGCCTGGTGAGAGCCTGGTATCGGACGCTCAACTACCCAAGGATAAGGTTTCCTATTTTTCACATACTGAATAAGCAAGAAAACATTTGCAGAAAGCTGATGGAGAAGAAAATACCTTGTTGCATAATGATCATATTACTAAGGAATCTATCAACTTCTATGTTCTTTTAAATTTAATAAATCTATTAAATGTATTCAAAATTATACTTTCGTTCAGATGGGGACTTCTAAATGAGATTTTCTCTGAATACTTTCTGCAAAAAAATTAAGCCTATGATTTAAGGGTGCATCAGCCTTTGATGGAGGTAGTTACAGTTTTGTCCCAAGTCCATGTGCTGGGTTGAGATCAACACAAAACAACAAAATGCTGGTAAGATGTGCAGGCTTACGAGCCCCAAGAATCGCAGTGTAGGAGATGGACCAGCCACCTCTCCTCAGAGCAGAGACCAGCAAATGAGCTGAGATGAAAGATGTGTCCTGTGTTGCTAAGTCTAATAAGGCTCTGAAAGAGCATCCATGAAGTGCAGAGACAGGCAAGGTAACAAAAAACTAATCTAGGAAAAGGAGGTTGAATGGGGATAGAACATGTGGTAGATGCAGGTAAAATTTCCATATGAAAATGAAAAAGACTGGAGGAAACCCAGTGGGTACAAACTGAATGAAAAAGTAATACACAAGTAGCACATTCTGGCAATAAAGTGAGTACTCTGGTTATGCTTTTTTTTTTTTTTTAAAAGGAATATTTAAGAAGAATGGGGGTTTGCATCCAGTGATCTTGAGAGAGCAGTCATTTACATCTGAAAGGCTTCACAAAAAGTTTCTGTCATTAGAACGGGCCAGGTGACCTCAAGAAGGCACAGCTGGCATAACAAAATTAGAGGGATCCAGAAAGATATTTATTTGGACAGTAAGAGAATGTTTCAGTTACTGTATATGGCATTAAGGTAAAGATCCTGGCCAGAAGCAGGAATAATGACACTCCTGGGTATAAACCAGCCAGAGGTGGGAACCGCCCCGTGTTAGTGTGCAGCGAGTGCCCTGCGCACATGTGCCCAGGTACAGTTCAGTGGTTATACAGGGGGCCTCGACCCTCTGGCAGTTCTGGTTCTGGATAAGGGCAGTTTCATCCCTATTGTATTTACAGGTAAGCTCCAAGGAGAATTTTTATTAGGCTTTCATTGTGAAATTAAGTCCGCATCTAGTTCACAGCCAGAGCAGTATCATATTTTAAGCTTTAAAGAACTTAAAAGCAGCAAACTAGTTTTTAAAATTTTTTGTGCCAGGTTTTTTGAAGGGGACTCTTTGAGTAGTTTCCAAGTTCCTCATATAATAAAACTGAAAATATTCCAAAGTTCTGGAGAAAAGGAAGCTTCATTCTTACAAAGGAATTAATTTTAGGTAATGAAACGTAAGGAAACCAGATTGGTGCGTAACTCTGTAATTTGGTTAATACACCAGAAAGTAAACCCACCCGAATTCAGCAGTCCCAGGTAAGGTGGTTTGGGGTCATTATATTAAAGGTGGGACTTTTATTCCCCAACCTGGTCCTCTTTCTCCTTCTCCTCCACCAAGGCACATCTTCTTGCTCCAAACTTTGCCCAGGTCTTGGGGGCCTGTGGCTCCTGAGGGCTGGTCTTACCATCAAGACCAGGAAGATGGTGGCGTTGAGTACCTTGGCCTTTTCCTTTTTGGCCAGTATCCTTTGTCACCAGGTCCCCTGTCCCACTCAGGAGCAAGCCCACCAAAGATGTGCACAGTACGCTGGATTTTTTATTTCACACAAGTGCCGTACTAATAAGCTGCACCTAATAAGGTGCAATGCCTGCACCAAACTCGCTTCATCAGAAGAAAACCAGAATATTTTACAGCACAAGTAACCTCTGAGCTAGCCAATTATTCTTTTTTTTTTTTTTTTTTCTGTATTCACGATTAAATAAAAAAGAGAAGGGTTCAAGGTAGTTTTTTAGAGCTGTAAGCATTTCTGTTGCCTCTTCCATGAAGAAAGCAATCCCGGGAGCTTTTGCTGTTTCTTACTGGAAAAGACACTCAGAGATGTAAATGCTGCAGGAAAGGCACCTCCTTGTCCTTCAGCTAATCAAACAAAGGGGAAAAAAATAAAGAAACAGAAATCAGGCAAGGCAGATGAAATAACCCTACATTTTGTGCTGTGGAATAAATTTACTCATGTATTTAGTCATGAAGAGGAAACAGCTGTCCCTAGGTAGACACTTTATTGTCAGAATAATGTTAGCTAAGGCAAAAGGTTGTAGGATTTTTTTTTTTTTTAATATGTTGTCCAATTTCCTTGAGGGACTTTCTTTTAATTTGCTGCCTGAAAGCAGAATCTAGCAGTGCTCTGCAAGACTGTTAGCCTGCCAAACTTTTTGGAATGGTTTCCTCCCCACTGTTTTCTTTTTTAACAAACTTTCCCCTAAAAATGTATGATTTTCTTTTAATGCATGGAAAATGAGGAATGACTTTTAGGAATGGTGGTGTATGGGCTGTAATCACAGACATGCTGTGTTGGGTTCTTATTGTGTAACAGCTCATTTGCCTGATGTGACTCCATAATGCACGATCTCTTGTGTGAAAGAAGCAGCCGTACATGAATCAATGCTCTGACTGCTCCCCGTTTGTTCTTCCAGGGGTGCCTCTCTGCCCCCTCGGTGGTGGGAGCCGGGCAGGAGCCCAGCAGGAAGCCAGATGGCACGTGGGGCTGGGGACTACCCTGCACACCTTAACTAGAGCCACCGAGGTTATCAAGCCACTGCTCAGCTGGGTGTGAAGGGTGGTGTGCAGTGTATGTGAGGGGTGCAGTGTCCTTTAGAAGTCTACCTTCCACAGTAGGCTTCTGCAACACAGGAAAACTGGAATTTTCTCTTCCTTTCTAATGGAGGGAGGACATCTGTGGTATCCCACTGAAAAATCAGAGTCTGTGTATTTGACATTGGCACCCACCCAACTGCAGCAAACCACCAGAGAAAAGAGCAGCCCTCCCCCAAGGTGAGAAACTCACCTCCCCAAGCATGGCTTGTGCCTTGGAGCAGCTGTAAATCTACCTGGCGAGGGGGACAGAAGGTGACCAGTTTCACTTGCCTGACAGTTTACAGTGTAAAGATAGAGCACATACCCAAACTGTATTAGGTTGTCTTTAAAGAAAAAAACAGGGACTGCTAACATTTGCAGTTAAAAGGCTTAATCCCCCCCCCCCCCCAACTGAGGATGAGTTACCATCTGAGCCAGATTTCCAGAAGGCCCATCTCGCACTAAGCCAGAGGCTCCCCAGCATTATAATCACAGGCTGTGTTTGCCTTTTGATCTCAGCCATGCTGAACTTCACAGGAAACATGTCAGAGGCAGAAAAGCCTAAGGCAACAAACTCTGCTCGATGAAAAAGAAAATCCTTCTGTCTGTCTTGCCTAGTCTCCCCGATGCCTAGAATTATAATTAAAGCTAAATTATCTATTTTCTAGATAAAATCCATGGCTCATTACTGCTTATAAGGGAGATCAACACTAGAAAAAATAGGAAAAGAATTGCATAAAGGTATTTTTGAGTTCCTAAAAGTTCGCTGTTGTCCAAGTAAAGGCTCTGATTCTTCCAGGAGTTACACATTCCTTTTTATCAGATTATTACAGATAGTAATTCCCACACAGAGCATAATCCACACTATCTCTACTGCTAAGGGAAGGCCAGACTGTTTCCTTAGTGGCTGACAAACACGGACATTTGTATCTATCTAGATACACACCGATATGCCAAGGCTGATATCGCCCTATCAGGACTGCAGGGACAGCAATCTGCTCTTTTGAAATACAGGGTGTACCTAAATGAGCTCCGACAGGTTTCTGAGGTGGCCTGGCATAAGGGACACAAAGCAGCACAGGACAGGGGCTGACTACACCTAAGCCTGCTGATTGTCACCAACCTTAGGTAATTCCGACAGCGCTGGCATGAGGCAAATGAGTATGATCATCCCTAATTTACAGCTAGATACATGGGAGCACCTGCTGTAAAGGTCATCTCTGGTTGTTCTAGTGATTCCAGCAAAATTCTAGCAAAAATTTGTGATGCACACAAATAACTGCCTCATTTTACACTTCCAGATGCTGTCTCCTAGCAGTCCACCAACTCTAATTTTATCCCACATTAAATGTAAGCCATACTAATTTCAACATTACAGTGAATTTTTTTGTCGGAATAAATGCCAGAGATGAAAAACCTGTATGGAAAGCCCCTGCAGAGACACACCTCACCAGCTTT